TTGTGAGCAGGTCATTGTAAGTGGAAAACTACGGGCTCAGCGTGCCAAATCCATGAAGTTCAAGGATGGATATATGATTTCATCTGGTCAGCCAGTCAAGGACTATATTGATTCTGCAGTGAGACATGTGCTCCTCAGACAGGTTAGTTTCTGGGCTATGTCCTTGTAGTTTTCTTTTACTTCAACTTGGCTCTTCTAATTATACACTTGCTGAATGTTTCTTAGGGGGTTCTTGGTATCAAGGTCAAGATCATGCTTGATTGGGACCCTAAGGGAAAGCATGGTCCTAAAACTCCTCTTCCTGATATTGTCACAATCCATCCACCAAAGGATGAAGAAGAATACATCCGGCCTGCTGATATTGTGGCAACTATTGTGCCAGCCGATATGGACGTCCCTGTCGTGCCTGTGGCTTGAACTGTTTTGGTGTAGCGCTTGATTCAAGTTTTGTAGTTGTTGAGTTAGTCATTTTCTCTTCGTTTCCCGTTTCTATAGATAGATGTCCGCATTCGAGTTTTTCTAAACTATCGAGAAATTTGTTATACTATAGTGGCTAGATTTTAAGCAGAATAACCTGGTTCTGTTCCTTTTCTTTACCAGCATGTGCTGTGATTTTTTCAAGCTTTTTCATTCTTCAATGAATGTTTATTTTTGTCCCGAGTTTTCTATTTTAAAAAAAAAAAATTAAATCCCCTGCTTCGGATTCTTGAGTAGCTTCTATTCGCATTTGCATTACAAAATGGTCATCGATGTGGGAAGGATTGATGTAATTTGATGCTAGAAGATTGGTCGGACAAATAAATTTGGATGTTGGATTCAAATATCAGGACAATCAACACTGGGAAGTGGTGTTCATGGTTGAGTTGTTTTGGGCGAATGATCTTATTATAAGGAGGGTTATCTGTTTAGTTTACACTTCAAATCAAAGCTAAGTTAAATGTGTGGTGTTGAAGAAGTTGACCAGTGCGGAAATGGTGCCCCTAGTGGAGTTTTTTCTTTTTTTAAGGTTGAAATAAAACTATATATATAAATAAAAAGATTACAACAATTAATCCCTCATTTTGAAGAACGAAAATTTGACGGCCCGAGCAAGGCTTGTCTCAAACACGCACAAGCAAAATTTGGGTTTTGATATATTGTGCTTTGCTTCACCCAGGTACGTTTCTGTATCAAGATCGATTTGAGATGTTTAGTTATGTCTCGGCTCACGAGTATCCACCATCTTCCCTGTCATGAATGGCTTGATTCGGCTTCCACCAGATTAAGTTAATCAGAATGATGATCTTTGTTACCAATTGATGATTTCCTGAAGGAGATTAATCAACCAAACCGCCCTAGTCTACGGGCGTGTAACCAAAACCCATTTTAGAGTGAGCTTCCATAAATCAGCCCACAAGTTACTCTGTAAAGTCACATTATTAGATGATTGCTTGATAAGTATGTAACGTAAAATCCATCCCTTGCAGCATAAGTAGTGAGATCTTCTACTGCTGAATTGTAACTCAGCAGCATCACATTCACAATATGTCAATATCCCTCTCCAAAACCTTGAGGCATTGTAGGCCCTCCTGATGACATCTACGTATTTCAGCATTAAGTTTGATTCAATGTATGCCAATTCAGGCCCCAAGTTTGACAAAATCCAAATATTCCAACTTCTACTCAATATTGAAGCCCTAGCAATTAATGCATCACGCTTATAGCAAAGGATCATTTTTCTAATATCTGTGGATAGGGATTAGTTGTCAAAAAAATCGCGATTGTTATAATTCTTCTGATCATTTTTATATTCCTATATTCTCTTAACCAATTTCAAAAAATAAAATCAAATGATGGCCAAATAACTTTGTCAAAACGCAGTTCAGTTTCACTATAACACTTATAATTAAAGAGACAAAAATCTGGGGACCAAACCGTTCAATGAAAGAAAAATAGGACACTGTCTTCAGTGTTCACGGGTCACCTAACAGAACAAATTCAACATCTTTAAGGTAAGTGGAGATGGTTACAGTGGAGAAAATAAGTGATTGGAATGATTACTGAGTACTAAATTCATCTCAGCTTGAAAACAAGGAAATTAATGCGATGCCAATTGTGAATTTTTTTGACAATGCTTGGATTAATGGACTTTTTCTTAATTAGAAACGTTTGGCGACTGTCATGATAATGGGTTCAAGAGATTGGGCAGAATTGGAGGGGATGAGAGCAGTGTGTTGAGATTAATAAAATGAAGAGAAGTTGGATTACTATGTTGCGAGTGGATGGATGAGCTATTTTTATTAAAAAAAAAGTAATTATCAATTTAATATTTACAACTAACGTCACATGTCGAGTTCAAATTCTAAATCTCACTCATGAAAAGGTAACATTGTTAATAAATCAACTAACCACTGACCGGATCAGGGGTTAAGGAAGGGGGACCAGCTAAGGATATTTAAAACTAATACAAACTAATTGCATCATATCCAACTGAATCAAATCGATATAAACTAATCAAAACCAATCATTATTGAGGTTTGATTTGGTTTTTTTTTTTGGGCACAACTAATTAGTTTGGTTTGATTTAAGTTTTTGCTCATAAAAATTGAATTAACCTAAAACAAGTTTTATTATATTTATTATATATATTTTTATAAATTTTTCTAAGATTTTTTCTCTTTGGCTAGTTTAGTTATTTATAAATCATAAGTAAAAATATGTTACAATTAGCTAAATGTTATTTATAATTATTTATAATAATTTTTAAATTTTATAAACAAGTGTTTTAAATATAATATATTGATTTTTAATAGTTAAATATGTTAATTAATTGTTAAAAAATATTCTTTTGTACTCAAGAGATGTTTTCATTGCAAATAATAATTAATTAATAGTAAAAAATTATCAATAAATATGAATATATATTAATGTTTATGAAGAATATCTAAAAAAAATTTAAACCTGATGCAAATCTAAATCAAACTATCCAAAAATTAAATGGATTCTAAATTACAGTGAATAATTAGTTTGGTTCAGTTTAGTTTTTCTCAAAATCGAATCAAATTAACCTTTAAATCCTCTTACGACTAGCAACGATCACCGTCCCGAGTTTTTAATTTTTTTTTAATATCATGTAGATGTTCTATTTCCAACCTTCTAATATTGATGAAGTTTTATAATTTATATATGTTTTAATCAATCTCAAATTGTGGGTCCACCCCACAGGATGAGCAACTTTTCAAGATAGGAAATCAATAAATTGCTGGAAATGAAAGGAACAAAGTAAAAGGAAGAAAGGATAAAGTAGATTCCCACTTCACACGTTTCTTTTACTTCATCATGTTTGATTTGTCCCTCGGTGATGCTTCCCTACTTGCTTCTTCTAATTGTCGTTTTGCGCATCTTTTTTTCCTTTTTTTAATTTATTTTTAAAGGATAAATCCGTCTTCTGCATCTTCTGTTTTGAGTGAAAACAGAAAAGTGGCATCCCCATAAAGTTGCATACAGTTTGTAAGTCCATGTGTTTCTCTCTCTTTCTATCTAACTATATATATATATATATATATATTCTCAACAAGCCAATATTATTAGAATTGAAAAGTTACAAAACATTAATAAATGTGTTCCCAAAACAGGTCCTTTGTCTCAAGATTAATCTCTCGTGCTAATCAAATCCTCAACATTTGTTGGTTATTGATATTTGAGAGGATGAGTTTGAGACTGATTTTCGATTTATTTTCATCCACAAATTCCAACTGATTTTTAAACAATTTTTTGGGGAAAAAAGTCATGCAAAGAATAAAATTTTTGGTTGATATATTTTCTTTATCTCTCTTTCTGCTTAAAAAATATTCAAGATTTTCCAACTTGAAAATCCAAATCCTAAAAAAAAGAAAGGAAAATCACACCTAGGACCTTTAGAGGAGAAATAATTGCATTTATAGTCTAATGTATTCGGAAATTATTCTACAGACTCAAATGCTTTTTTTTTCTTTGCAAATATATTTTAGAGAGAAAAGATATAATTATCCTTCGTGAGAAAATAGAACAAATAAAAGTTCATATTTTTATAATCAGATGTTTAGATATTCACAATTTTAGGATTAAATATTAATAAATAATTGTTCATTAGTGGTGAAATTCTTATTTAAAGTTGACAAGTCACAAATCATAAATTTATAACTTAAAGTTTGAATATTTATAAGTATAGGTTCATCTATTCATAAGTCAAAGTTCATAATTTATGACTTTATATATGTTTAAAACTAAGATTTATCATAATATCAAGTTTAAATTTTTACAATCACATATTCACATATTCGCAACTTTATATTCACATATTAACAATTGGTAGTAAAAATTTTGTTTAGAGTTGATAAATACATCTTAGCCAACTTCATAAATTTACATTTTAAAGTTTAAATATTCTCAAGTATATGTTCATCTATACACGAGTTAAATTCCATAATTTATAACTTCATATATTTAGAATTAAGCTTTATCTTGATAGCAAGTTCAGTTTTCTACAACTATATGTTCATAAATTCATAATATTATATTCACATTTTAACAAGTAATTGTCCATTAATAGTAAATCTAAAGCTCTTTCTTTTTTACTAAGGGCACTTATATCTTTTCTTTTTGAAATATATTTACAAAAAAGGCCTTTGAATTTGTAAAATAATTTCAGAATACATGAGGCTTTAAGTGCAATTTTTTCTATTTTAAGATGCTAGGTGCGATGTTCCTAAAAAAGAATCCAAAAATTTCTCATTCTTACTTCCTGCCTAAAGTAAGAATTTTGAGTAACACATGGAGTTGAATATTAAATTAAAATGTAGTATATTCAATAACATATTTACATGATGAAAGCCAGGCAAAAAAACAAAAAAGAAAACATTATTCCATTCATTCCTTAACTCCTTTTGAACAAGGTAACAGTACCAGAAATTATTACAGCAGAAAAGTGATCCATTTCTATTAAATTCACAGTGATAGAAACTTACGGTGACACAAAGGGATTCTGCAAAAGCCATTCTTATTTGAAATCTAAGATCTGAGTCAGTAATGAGCTATTAATCAAGCTAAAACACAGCTTCAACTACAAATTAATTCTAATTAATCTTGTTCTATATCTTGGGGAAAAAAATTACAAAATTTAAGAACACAATAACAAGCTCTGATATTAATTCTCTAAGTAGGCCTGAGCCTCTTGTGGCCAACTTCTTTGCCATCTGATTTTACAGCACCACTTGAATCTCCCTCTGAAGAAACTTCCATGGATTTGGAGAAAGAGGTTGAGAGATCGGAATACAGATCCACCACTTTCCTGATGTTATTATTGAGCTCTTTGATCAGACTCACGTTTCTGCTGAGGTTGTCTGCTACCTTGGACTCATGATTCTGGTTTATCTCGTTTATCAGAAGCCTGTTCTGATCCAAGATGTTCTGCACTTGAACAAAGTTCTTCTTGAATGTCTGCAGCACCTTCCCATCCATCTGTGTCCCATTATTGTTCATCCCAGAAAACATGTCTCCCTCCATTGTTTTATGAATCAAGCAAGAAGCTTAATTAATCAGACTCAGTCCCAGTACTGCAAAATCAACAACAACAACAAAGTTTGGATCAGTCAGTGGTTCTAGAAACAAAAAAATATCTTCTTGTCCATGCACTAACCACACATAACAGAAAGACAAAAACATGAACAGTTTTTGAGCTGTTCAAGATATGTTTGGCACATGAGACAAGTTCTGCAGAAAATAGTAGGAGGAATCATTACCCTCCACGAGCTTCTTTTGCAGAATGCAGCAATTTTTAGTAATAATAACACTATTATTATTATTATTATTGCTGTTTGATAATAAATTATTATTTTTTTATAAATAGGAAAAGATGATGCAGCCCATTTCCCTAAAAAGGTGACTTTTCCCCCCCTTAAATGTAATGAGAAAATACCTCCCTACGGCTCAGAGTTGAAAAGAAGAATCTGAAATACTACCAGTCAAGGAAGGCTTTTTTTCCCCCAGGAAATTAGGAAAACCCCAAAATTCTGAAACAGACATTGAATAAAACCAGGATCCATTTTAGGAAAAATCCCAAATTAGCATTACTCTGAGTTCAGGGGAATCTGAAATGGAATTACCATATTGGGAATTCTGAAAACAATGATTCAGACCGTACTGAGACAGGAAAAAAAAAAAAAAAAGCTTCCACTTTGCAGCAGTTCATCAGTAAACCAGAAATTACATGAAGAAGAAGCAGCAGCAAAAGACACAGACCCATTCAAGAGTAGAGATCTTCTTATGATGAAGGAAAACATCGAGGGACAGAGGAACAGAAATCATGAAGAGCCATGTTTAAAAGATAAAAGATACATAAGTTATCTAAATTGGAAAGTCGTACCTTGAAAATCTGGAACATTACAATGAGAAGACACGGATTGAAAGGAGGAGGGCGAGGGATTCCCGAGGAGAATTAGTAAAGATCGACGATTGAATCGAATCTGATGTGAATTTTCCGGGAAAGGGAGAGGGAGAAAAGTGAAGGGGGGGGGGGGGGAATATGGCAGATTTGACAGTCTCGCTGCAAGGGCCTGTAATGTTTCAATGTCTTAATATTTAGGACTAGGAGTACTCTCGTGGGATTAAATTAAATAATAATGAATAAATATCCACCTGTTATTTTTAATATTAATAATTAATTAATTTATGATCCGATTGGACACACTCTGGGAGGTGGGAACTTCTCCTGTCCTTTACTCAGATCCAAAGCATCACTTCCTCAGATTTTTTTCATCCTGACACGTGGCCCCTTAATCCCCCCGATGCTTTCATCGTGTGTTGGGCCCACTTTTGCTAACATTATCTATGACTATTAGAATGAGAAATATAACAGCAGTTACCTATATTTATATTATATTATATTTTTAGTTTTAATAGTTTTATTTTACTGTTCACAGTCCTTTTAATTTAATTTGTCTACAACGGTAATTGTTATAGTTTTAAAAATATATGCAAAGATCATGAATTGAAACTGAAGGAGTTAATTTTAATTCCATTAATCCTTTTATCTTTCAGTGATTGAGACTTTTGATTTACCTTAACTGTATTAAAATTATAGGAATTAATATTGTGGATGAATCAAACTAAAGAGTATAAAAACAACAGAATAAAATTATAAAGAAAAAAAAAAGGCAATCGAAATGTAGGGACATGTTGATATGTTTTCCTCTAATAAATATTTATCTCCCATGACTTTAGACTTTTTTTTTTTGGGGTTTGATTCCAGGACCTAGACTTAACCTAATTTAATTTCGATTTGAGTGATGATGTGATTCATTTAGGTGTACCATTGAATTTTAATAATTTTTTCACCCGATGAATTAAATAATTTAATCATTGTTTTGTGTGATGATTGAATTTTATCTTATTCTTATATAATTAAAAAGATTAATCTAAAAAAAAAAAGAACCCAAATGATATAATGGGTGATAACAGTGTAATTTTATCAGTCATAATTTCATCATGAGTTGCAATAATGACGTGATTATAATTAAATATAAGATTTTTTTTTCTAAAGTGCTAATCAATCTATCATTATAGTGCAAGACTCATGTTAAAGTCAAGTCTATAAAATGATTACTCTTACTAGATTTAAAAAAAATCTAGTAAGAGTAATCATTTTATGTGTGATATTTTATAAAAAATTAAAAAATTAAAAAACAATTAAAAATAGATTTATTTAACACTGTGTGTTGCTGTTACATGTATATCAATAATTTGAAAACCATTAGCTTGCATAAAGAATGACCTCGTAGAGGCAAAGGTAGAATTTAATTATAAGATAAGCCAAAATTTAAAAAAAAAAACACACATTCATAATACAAAATTTATATAAATTTTTAGAGAGAGAAAATGTATAATATTACAAAATATTTAAAGAAATAATACATTGAAGGCCATCGCCACTGGAGAAGGGTCTCTTTCTTTTCTCTCCTATCCCTCATTTTCTCAATCTCCATCATTAATTTTGTTTTATCAAATGAATTCATTTTATTTACAAATTTAATGAAGGGTAAGGATTAAGAAAAGGAGGGAAAAGAAGAGGAAACAAGGGGAGAATTCCTTATTCTGTGGAAGTGTGAGTTTTTAGTAAATTTTCAAATATAATTTTACAAGTAAATATTAATTATTATTTAATTTGTGCAGTTAATTGAGTAAATTGCAAATGATGTGTATTGAATAAAAAAAGAAGTTTGGGAGATTACTGATGAGAGCTTTATATACAGGAGAGTGGTAGCTGTGACATGGAGTTAGAATTGGCATGAAATTTGGCAGGCGTTCGTGAAAGCGTGTGAATGCTTGCTTACATATATTTATTGGCAAATTTCAAGATTTAACTAACATGTGGTGCTAACATTTGTACTTGAAAAAGTGAATTCGCACCGAAATTTAAGGTATTAGTAATTAATTCATGATTCTAAAAAATATTATTAAAATTTTTAATTTTTTTTAAAAATTACATCTTCTCAATTATATTTTTATTAAATATTTTATATAATTAAAAATTTTTAAAAAGTTGTCTTGATAATAATAATTAAAATTTTAATATATTATTTTTTTGAAAAAAATAATACATGAATTAGAGGTATAATTAAAATATATATAAAAGTTATACAATGTATTATATTTTAGATTAAGCATGACTTCCATTGCGGTTTGGATGGAGTTTTTTAAATAAAAATAAAATAGAAGTATTTTACATTTCTTTTGAATAATGTTTAGATGGATGGATTTAATTTTAAATTTTAGATTTAAAATTATATATATAAAATCTCACATTTAAAATTCATATATTTAAAATTTTTTATCAGATGGTGTAAAAAAATTTAAAAATAAAAAAAAAGATGAGTTGAAATTTGAAATAGAAATGAAATATTAGAAATGACAAGCTTACATCTATTTTTTAATTGGTGAGATCAAAAGAAGAATGAGGGATGAAAGGATTGGTGAAAATAACAAAGGCATGAATAATAAGAATATAAAAAAAATGAAAGAGTTGAAGTTGGTGGAATTTCAAATAAATAGATATATATATATATATATTGAAATTATATATTTCCTCTTTCGTTAAAAAATATAAGATATTTTTAACTGAATTTCACTCCTAATAAAGTAGTTACTTACTTTTAAACTAACTTTATCTTTTTATATTTATCCCTTTAGATACTCTACAATAAATATAAAGTTATTATTAATGTGGGCACTTTTAAAAAAAATGATTATAGCTCGAAAGATTAAAAATACTTTATATTTTTAATATTTAATTTTTAAAAAAATATTTTATATATTTTTAAATAGAAGGAGTAGAAATCATAATAAAAACATATATTTCCAAAGACTTCAACATATCCAAACGCAACATTATAGATAACATACTTTTGAGATCCAAAATCCAAATTCCATGGATCCCAAATATTACATGAATTGATACATAATGTTGAAAATTTAGTAAAATTGACAAACTCAAAGCCTTCAAAGAAATAATTTCATATTACATACATTCTTTTGAAATTCAATGACAATATATATAGAGTAATATAGAGCATTGAGGGGCATTTTGTCTAGGTAGTAGCCATGGCCATGTAAACCACAAGGCCAAGAAGCCAACCGCAAAAAAAAAAAAAAAAGAAAAGAAAACTCCTTAATACTCCTCTACTATATATGTGTAGTGTCGTTGATACTTGCATTGTTGTAGATCAAAGAGAATGAAAAATTTTGATTGTTTTTCTAATAAAAAAAACTCAATCATTTTTAATATAACTTTAATTATTGGGTTGATCCATTATCGACATAAAAAAAGAATAACAAGATTCATGATGTATTAATTTGCATATCACCTTGCTCTAGCTTTCTTCTGCAATCTTGCTTATTTATATAATTTATATAATCATTATTAGTCTTCTCATTAACCATTGATATCGTCCTTATTAATTATATATTTTTTTATTAAAAACATACAGTGTCATCCCATATTAGTGTTAGTATTCACATACTATGTCAATATATAAGATGGAGAGGAATCACTTCATCAACAACAATTCTCACCGCTTTCTATCAAATTATTTAACCTTTTATTAGAATTATTATATTTCATAACTGAAATATATGATTTCTTAAAAAGTAATATGAGGATAGATTTTTTTTTTTTTTGTGAAGGCATATACATGCTAGGCTTGGCTGAAATTTTGCTTTAAGCTTCAAAACTCCTTCAACACAGTCCTAGTAGTAGCCTAAGTAAGTAATTAGGGGAGCAAGTGAATGATGAGATAATCAGACATGAAAGGAAAATGAAGGGAAGAGGGAATAGTAATGAGAAAGAATGAAGCACCTGAGAGGGGAGGGAGGCATGTGAACAGTGTGGCGCCAGCTTGGCCTTGCAATTTCATGTCCGAAGTCTAAGGCCGGCTTCTTGCTGCAGCTGCATTCATGAATTTAATAACAAAGTAAATAGTAATAGAGGACAAGTGAGAGGCCTTGTGCGTGTAGGGAGTGCACCTCGTACTAGCTTCCTCTTACCGAAGACTCCAATTATGTGGGTAGCCATCTTTCTCTTATATAATGTATGTACTCTTCATTGCTCTCTTTATATTCTCACTTTTCTTGTGTTTTGTTTTTGGGATCCACTTCTTTAACTTGGCACGACACCCTCTTTATTGTGCTTAATTTCACTCTTTTGTAATCAAAGGCTATAGGTAAATTGTGCTAACCAACAAGATGATCACACTAGCGTGCAAAAGATTACTACAATTAAGCGGTAGGGTATAAAAAATATGAATATGAAGATTGTTAGTAGGGGCTTGATGAGATAATCAATCCACACAATTATTTGCTTCCCTGAAGACATAGTCAAACATGATTGTTCAATCTCGTATAATAAGATATCTGATTTTGTTCATAGTTGCAAAAAGTGGGTAGTTAGTAAAGAACTCATTGTGAATTAACGAGAAAGCTTCTTTAGAGTCAAAGTAGACATTCTTCTAAGATGCCCTTAAGTTTAGGTGCTATACTTGGGTGGTATCCTAGGTATTTGGAGAAGCCTTTAATCCGATTGCCTTGGTTGTTTCAGATGAGACCGCCACAAGTAATTGCACCATGAATGTTGATAGAGCCAACTGTATCCAATATAACCCATCCTTCTTCAGGGGAGGACCATTTAACTTTTGTTCTATTACCCTTCTAAGATAAGAAGGTGATTTTGGATTGAAGGTATTGATCATTGAGTATATCCTGGATGCTAGTGAAAGTGATGTCTTTGTCATGAATGTCTTCTTCAGAATATATATTTTTGCATCTTTCTTTTCATATGTTCAAACACACGTGAGCAAAGAGTCTCTATCAACGAGTCATCCTTGCACATGCATTGTCGGCATCATTCTCCATATTCTAAATTATCCATTCCTGTAAAGGGAGAGAAAAGAAAGTGTTAAATTTATATTGTTTAACTTGTTTTATCCAAACCTCTTTAGATTTCCTGTAATCTCTCAATATATGAACGATTAAATCTAA